TCTACAATGACAAAATATTAGCAAAGCTTTGAAAAATGTGTAATTAAAATTCAAAGGATGCAAGACGCCTACAAATTTTGGAGGGAAGTTAACGAAATTACATCATTGATAAATTCACATGTGAGATTATGGAAAATAAACCACTCACTTCCCGGATGTAGCTTTTATGAATTTTACGAGTGGTATATTTTCCAGAAATATAAATAATAACTATTTTCCCACCTAACAACTAATCAAGGTGGGTAGGGGAGAGAGACATATTTACATTACAAGGATCTAGTAGATGGAACAAAAAGCAGTAAAGACACTGTACAAAACAACAAATAGAATAAAATACCATAACGCAAGGTAAGTAAATAACAAGGCAAAACTAAGGTTGTGTATAATACATTTTTATAAGACAAGGTTCTTGAACATAATCGTATTCTGACAATTCTCATAAAAAAAGCAGAAATTTTATGAGTCCTAGAGAGCATTTCATAAAAAGATTGATGATACTACAATTTCCCCAACCACAGAGACCATAAGTTAAGGGGACAATATCAGTGAACAATATTTGTAAACTGAAAATACAACATGACGTGGCACAAAAGTGTCAATAATTCCAATTGATGATCAAGAGGCCATAATGGAAAACCAAAAGGTCTATGGGACGAAAAGATGGACTCCCATTCTGCATGAAAAAAAAAAAAACTCAAAAAAGGGTCAAACCAAAACTTTCCCCTTTTACACGCTGCTCTTGCCAATGCTTAATTGATGCCTTATCAAGTATTTTTTTCTGGGAAATAAAATTTATTTTCTCCAGTACAGAAATGTAGGTGGTCTGGATGGGAGTGATTAGTGATTTGCTTATCACATATACAAGGACATTTGGGATTCCAGACAGCTGAGATGTTTTAATAAAACATTATCTAACAGTACCATAAGAAGACTGACATCATCACCTGTATTGCCACTGGAACCCTTGGCTTGTTGGAGAGAGGACAGTTGTGAAAGTAAAGGTTGTACAATCCTTCCTCAGCTTTACTCTTTATTTGCACCACAAACTACATGAAAAAACAACAACAACAATTGACCAATTACAATAAATTAAAATTTAAATGTGACTTAGGAGAATAAAACAAAATAAATCACCCTGAGGCTCAGGGATGACTAACACATAGTTGACATCACCGTGAGTATCGCTATTCTTTTTACCCATCTTGGAAAAAAACGTGTTTTGAAGCTAGTCAAGCCGTTTTCTAGTCACTGTCAATGTTCCAATCTCCTTTAGGCCGAGCCAATAGCACCCACTTATGTGTGCAACTTTTCTTGCAACAGGTCTGAGGCCATTCCCATGGAAATTCCACCCAGAAGGCACCCACTGTAGTGAGCCTCACTGAATAAAGGCTACGTGCACCTTATTAGTGTTAAAGGACTGAGCCACCTGCAGTATATAAGGTTTGGGCAGATGAGGCTCTTTATCCTTGGACGGAATACCATCTAGAAGAAGGAAAACTCCAAACCCAAATCAGGCATGTGAGAAGGACACAGCCAGGCTCATATCGATAATGCCCATTGCCCATCACACGCCACATAATATTAAAAGAAAACCTTTTTCAGCCCATACTGGATTGGTCATCACCTAGATCAACAAGGACCACACCTTCCGCTTTGCACCAGGGCAGAGCTGGGAAGTATGCGACTTGTGTAACAACTAGCAAGATACGTGCCAGATATAACATCGTTATTGGCACCTAATGGTTATTGGAAACTGCTAAGCATCTAATACAAAGACCACATCACCAACAGGCAAACCATCATGCCCTATGATGACGTCTTAATGAAGGTCATTTAAAGAAACCCAAGTTCAAGTGATTTGGGCATGTCTTTCATTCAGCCATGCATTCCAAGAAAAGTACAAGGAAGGAGAAGAATAGGAAGATAAAAGAAGCACCGGAGAAAAAAACATGTCAGATTTAACAGGTTTGAGGTTTTGTGATGCCATAAGAGAGTCTAAAAACAAAGTCAAATGGAGGGAAAGGTGCACCAGCAGTCATCATGACTACAGGATACTAAGATGCAGACTGTGCAGATGTGGGTGTAATAATAATAATAAACTCTATTCAACTGTCGTGTAACTTTAGCATGGTGTTGCTAATTGGGGACACCATAACAAAAAATAAAATATAAAATATACTCTTAGACGTGTGTGAATTAAAAAAAAATAAAAAATAATATTAAAAAAAAACTGCTATACACATACTATAAGTAATGGAAATATAGAGTTATGTGTATATGTACAATGTTAAAAATTGTAGGATTATAGTTTAAGAAAGACATAGAAAACAGCCAGTTGGACATTACTCGAGCAAAAACCTTTCCACGTCCAATTTCTTAATTTGTCTTTTAAAACTGTTCAAGTCACAATGTGTCCGTACATTTCCCGGTAATTTGCGTCATAAATACTAAGGCCCTAGATATCTGACAGAATGTTTTCCATAGGTTACTGTATTACATCTTGGTATTACAAAGTCTGAATTATGTAAATTATAATTAGTTTCCATTATTTGGAACAATCCAGAGATGTCCATTTTTGACGTTGAACATTAACACCATCAGGTCTTCAGTGTTCCAGCCAGAGTGGACCATTGCGTGAATCCCGTGAAAGATCGAGAGATGGCCCTCAACAAAAGCGTTAAAGGGCCATTATGGCCCTTTCCTTTTTTAATTCCCAGGGCTTAAAAGGTCTCTGTTACTTCAACTACAATAATGTTCCATTTAAACAGAATTTTTAATCTAAAGAACATCAACTCCGTACCTTTTTACACAACATGAAAATCAATCAATGAATCTTTTTGGATCGGCCAACATGTTTACCTGATTTACCATGAGTGGTCTGGAGAGCACTGAGCCTCGACTTGGGAGATTAAACCTGGTAAGCGCATCTTCAAGGTCTATCACAACTTTTTTTCAGTAAGTAACGAATACGTGGATGGCGGCGAAGCAAAAAGAAGAAGCAAAAAGAAGAAGATCTTGACGGTGAATTGGAAAACGTTGATGGTGTAGCTGAGCTGAGGAAACGAACCGAAGCAAAAACAAGCTCATAGGGAAAAAAATCCTGCTCAGACGTTTGTTGAACGATTTCAGCTATTCATTTTAATGTGATGCATGATTCAGCAATGAAAAAAAGTACTTTAATACTATTTCTGATTGTGCTAATGTTTGCTTTATTGCCGAAGATTTACTCTAATGTGTATGAAAAGGAATGCTCCATGTCAGCTTCAAATAAACTGCCATTTTAATTTATTTAACTTTCCACCTGTTTCTTCTCTTTTGCATATTAGAAAGATATTAGCCCTTTCTTGAAAAATCTGGCCCCGAACAATGGGTTGTAGGGGCCACTTTGGCCCTAAAGCAGAATTTTCTGGCTGGAACACTGCCGTGTTACGGTCTTCTATTACGCAGTGTAGGTAATCCTGCTACATTGTATCTTTAACAGATTTTCGTATGTTGATACACTGTCCTTGAAAACTGCTCTCAGTCTCTTTTCCTGTATCCTCTCCAGTTTCCTCTGATAAGATGCACTAAGGAATAGCCAAACAAGTGAGCAATAGTTTAGCTTCGGGAGAATTACTGCTTTATTAAACAGATGTAACTTCGTCTTTTCGAGAACTAGGTTCTTCATCCTCGAGAGGGCACCAATTTTGCAATTTGCTTTCTGACAGACTTGTTGAATGTGGGCATCAATAAGGACTCCTACTAGTGTTAATGAACTTGTGCATTCAATTTCTTCATTGTCAATGACAATCTGCACCTCTTGTGTATTCTTTGCTTTTGACACTAGAAACATTGCCTGGAATTTGCCTTTGTTTGCCAGAAGGAAATTATTTTTATATTAGTTGGATACAATCTTAGCCTTGTTGTTTAACAGAGTAGCAACGTTTTCGATCAGCTGGTGAGACGCACATATTTGATGGTCATTTGGTACATAGAAATATCACAGTTCTTAATACTATAACTTAAGTCATTCTGAAACATGTTCCACAGCAATTGTCCAAAACATGACCCTTGGGGGCAGCCTTTTCTTATATCATGCCGAGAGCTGTTAACTGTAGCAAGCTTAACCCTTCCCTGCTGGTCTTGGACATACGATCTTAAGAGACATGATGACTCGTCACAGAAATTATAGGCTTGTAGTTTCTTGACCATGAGCAACGGAAGGAGAGAGTCAAATGCTTTGCTAGTATCAGTAGAGATGATCCCCAGAATTTTCCTTTGTCAATGGCCAGTCTCCAATCGCATCTTCTACAAGTTTTATTAAGGCCGTCTGACAGCTGTGACCCTTTCTGTAGGCTGACATATTTTGGGAAAGATGTAAATCCACTTTGGTTACTACCTGCTTGCCTGGCAGCTGTTCAAAGACTTTGTTTACAGCATTTCACACTGTCATGGGCCTAGTTCTTCCTCTCCATTTTGTCATCTTTCTTGAAAACAGGTACCCAATCCCCTCTCTTCCATCTCTAGGGATAATACCTAGATGTTATTGATAGATTAAAGATTTTTTTCAGTTAGGGTGCAAGTTCCTTTGCGGCTAGCTTCAAAATTCTTGGCGGTATTAAGTCGGGACCAGTGGACTTTGAAGGATTAAGGCCACATCAGGCTTTAGCAGTTTCGCCAGTTGTTTTCAATGTTTGTGACTGCACTCGGATGGGTTGTAAAATCGTCCTCTGTTAAAGATAAGCTGGATTTACCACAATATCGATCATTAGCCAAGGTAGAAAAATAACCAGCAAATTCTTCCGCAACTACATTTTGGTCTTTAGCCACAGTTCCATTCACATGCAATAACATACAATCATAACCAGAGGATCCATTTCCCTTTGCCAGAAAAGGTTTGAAAGTTTTGAAGAATTCCTGTGTTTAGAGTTCAATTCCTCAGATTTTACTTTAAGAAATTTTTTAATAGCAATGCATTGTTGTTTCGTAGCCGCATTTCTGGTCTTCCTTTTCATTTCCCAGTTCTCCTCTATTCTGTTGTTTGCATATGCTTTTGCTGCCTTTCCCTTGTCCCTGATTGCTTTCTTCCAGTTCTTGGTCATGAAAGGGACATCTTGAGTTCCCACATGCTTTTTCTTTACTGGGATGTGTTCGTCAATAACCTAGTTGAGAAGACCGTGCCAGTAATCACACTTCTCTTCAAGAGATTCAAATATGTCCATAACATGCCATGCTGCAGTAACTGGGTCGTTCTTAAAGCCTTCTTCATCCAGTTTCGCATAATTCCCGCACGAGAGAATTTTAGAGGGGTAATTCTTGACCTTATTGTTCATAATACCATAAATCATGGCATGATCACTTAATCCACGATTGATTATACCACTTGATCTAAAATAGTCTGGATTGTTTGTCAGCAGAACATCAATCAGTGTTTGTGAGGTTGGTGTAACCCAAGTGGGTTTGTCCATAAGACATTTCAAATTATGTACGTCCTCTAGATCCAATGATAGTTTCCCTTCTCTCTTGTCCACATGTGTTCTAGCTGTCCAAATTTAGGTCACCTACAACTATCACATCTTATTTTAGCATGGTCGACCACATGAGATGATTTAATTCATCTTCAAGCCTTAGAAAATAATCACCAGCTGATGATTTTGGTCGCCTATAAACTCCCAGGATTATTGATTCCCTACCGGCAACATTTATTTTTATCACAAGAGCCTCAATGGTCTTGTACTCTCTTAGAAGCTTTATCTTCTTTGAAGTCAATGAAAGTGTAATATACACCAGGATGCCACAGCCACCCTTTTTACATTTTTTACGAACTAGTTGACACCCTTCAAAGTTGAATAAGTCATTGGAATTCGAGCTGTGAATCCTTGTTTAAGAGATGAATATTACTTGAGCTATCAGGAAAGAGTTTAAGTCTCTCAGTCCTTCCGCTTTATTTTGGATGCTATTGATGTTTACAGGGTAAGTGCACAATCAGCATATTTCTGGAGTCTTGTTTTCTCTGAGCAAACAAATCAATATTGGAACAATACAGGTTTGCATAATTTTCCATGCTTGTTGACTCATCTTGATCATTTGCATTTTCAACTTTACTTTCATTTTCCTCTTCAAAGAAAGAGTCAGAGAAATTAAAAACTCCTTGGATTGACTCTTTTCAATTTGAGCAGTTCCAGTCCCTGATATCACCAGATTGAAATTATTCATTTATAATTCACGACACACAGGCCGCTGCATTTGGTGTGAAACCTTGACTTGCAAGTAGTGCATGTTGTGCTTTGATGATTTTGAGCGATGGTTCTTGAACATGTCAAACATTTTATTATCTATTTTATCAAACATTTTTCCACATTGAGGGTGAATATCATCGCTACGAATGATTTGTAGTAGTTTTGGATTGAAGGTAGCCAAACTATTGGAGTAGTATGATATTCTTCACCGAAGGAAGGCTTTCCTGGTCAAAACCGCTGTAGAACTTGAAATACATGTGGCTGTTACTGTGATATCAGCTGTTAAATTGCTTGGAGCAAAGTAAGATGATTTAAAAACTCCTCTGTGAGTGATTGTATCATCCCAGAGTGTTTTGCTTCCATTTAGATTAGTAGAAGTTAGGAAATAAAAGTGCACTAGGGCAATAGCAACGGAGCTAAAACTTTTGCGGCCATTCTGTCCCATCACATCACCAGACACCTGGTGTCTGGTTATTAAGAGCTAAAACATACTAAAGAGCCATTTACAGGTCCTGCACTATGCAGCCTTCTATTCCAGATGCAAAATATCAGCTTCAGAAGTTCAGACATGCACAGAAAGCTAAATTTTTAGAGAGTATTTTGGGTTTAAAAGTGATACAGCAGTCTGGACTTTTCCCTTTATCTTTCCCTACTGCAATCTTTGTCTGCTTCAATTGCTTGCCCTTTTTCTTTTCTTTGGCTGGGCATTTACCAGGCTTCATTTCAGAGGGAAAGAATTTTTGGTAAAGCATTAAGGATTGTAGGAGTAGATGGAAGGAAGTGAAGCTGTCTAGTGGAAAAAGATTTTCATTACTGTTTTCAGGTGAACTTTACATGGTTGTTTCCCTCCTTGACTGAATCATGCTCATGCTGGACGGGTATGGTTTGAAAGATCTCTTCCTCCTGCACAATTAAGTACATGAAAAAATGTCCTTGACTGTTAAAACTGATGATGTCACAAGTGATACAAGAGATGTGGATAATAACAAGAATGACAGAAATATAAACAGTTCTACTGAAATTCTATTTAACTGTCTTAACTTTAAGGGAATAGGACATTTAACCCCTATTTGTTGGTTATTAAAATAATGACTGGGGTGAATATAGTTCAATAACATACTTAATATTAAAAGAAAATAATAACAAATATAGTGAAATTTCAATATACACTGTAGCACCAAAATCCAAAATTAAAATGGCACTTTGCTAAATAGATTTAAAAATAAATGTAAGAAAAAAAACAAAGTAATATAGTATCACAATAAATAAGGCGAAAATAGCTTTTATAAAAAATTAATAAAGTTGTGTAAAAACATAAACTTAAAAGAGTCTAGTTATTTGCTTGTCTGGTATCTCTGGTAGAGTAAAGAGAGTTCTGAAGCATGGGGCAGCAACAGAAAAGGCTCATCATCTACAAGTCTTTAATTCATACAATATATCTTAGGATAGTCAATGACATTGTTGACTTAGATCATAAAAATTTTACTAGGTTGTAAATTTTGAGAAGGTCTAGTAAATAGGGAGGTTCTACTTACATTACCAGAGTATGTCTTCTCTGATTTATACAAGGGCAAACGTTGAAATGGACCTTTAACTAGAGTTGCCCTTGTTGTTTCTGCTTCTCTCCTTTTTCGCGTAATGTTTTCACCTTCACCGGGAGGAAACTGTTTACTATGGTCAGCTGAATTTCTTGAAGGAGAAGTAACTGTACTGTTGGATTGTGGTGAAGGGCTTGTCAAAGTGCTCACTGACATTGATGCAGCAGAAGATATCTTCTGGCTTTTGTTGGTTACAGCTGATAACGTAGAGCTTGCAGGAGTTCTAATAGTTGTTTGTGACTTGTTCTTAATATGGGTACCAGATGAGACTGGTGAAGATGTCGCAGTTGCCACTGTTGTATACAATCTACCCATGTCCTCGATAGTCAAGTGTAAGAAATCACTGCCATACTTGTCAATTTCAATACTAAAAGTACAAAAAGGGTTAAATACAAATATTAAAGCACATGACTTGTAATAAATCTCTACTCCCCTAGAAATGATAATAAATATCTTATATAAAATATAATTTACTCACCTCCAGAAAAGAAAAGAGAGGCCATTTGATACAAAAAAAATAATAATAAGTCTAAAATAAATTAAAAGCATTGGACTTTAGAATCAGAGAAACTGTTTGGTTCAATACATACAATACATACATACACCTTTATAGGACTCTATTAACACAGTCATGGTTATTGGCTTGCATTGAGGTGGGCAGACCTTGCGCTTGAATGCCTTACTTCCTTTCAATAAAAAATAAACCTAAATTTATTTTACATGCTAGGCCAATAAACTTACTGTGACTGATCTGTCAGAACAAACTTGATAATCGCCAAAGATATTTGGTTGCCATTAGAACGTACTTGAGACTGGTCCTTAAGAATACATCTCTCACTGTGCTGTTCCTAAGATAATTAAAAATCAGACCTCACAAATATTATATGCATAATGAATGTCTAGCAGGAGTTACAATATTTGTACAATATACTAATAATAATTAGTATAACATGTACAACTGATGGTGACTGTTCTCATACACTAATTATTATTATTATTCATTCAAAATATTTCCGTGACTCTGATTGGCTAAAAGCACACGCATAATTCACCATAACCAGTTACTGATGACCAAATTTGGAAGAATTTTGTGTTTAACAAGGAAATGACGTCAAAAATGCAGCGTTCTTACAGGTTAAGGCACTGTTAACGGAGAAGATCTGTGGACGAGGTTGAGTTGTTTTGGTTGTGAAAACAAAAAATGGCGGACATTTCACTCTTTTGAAGAGTAAGTACTAGGCAAAATTATAGCAAAAACATGGGGAGAACAGCAAGAACACAACTCGAAGGGCAACATCTGCTATTTGGAGAACATTTGTGGAGCTGAAAAACCCTAAACGTGCACTATTGGAGGTGAACTTAACATCGATGGAGGTAAGCATGTTTTACCTTTGTTTTGAAACTAGGAATTATTTTGAATGAATAATAAAACAATCATTGAATTCGGCTTTTGTATCATATGAAGAATTATGGAGATCTCAGAGAATGTTATCTGCCTTGGCCTACAGCCTCGAAGGATAACACCCTCCTCAAGCTCCATACTTCTTCATAAGATATTCACCCTCATTCATTAAATTATTGTTAAGTATATAAGAACAGTCACCATCAGTTGTACATGTTACAGGTCAAATTATATTCAGGCTAAAATTATTTAACCTAGGTTGACTCTCTATTGAATTAGGGCATGGAGACAAAGGAATTTGTGAATCAACCTAGGTTAAATGAAAATTAACCTGAAATCAAAGTTGACCTGTAACATACACGTATGTTTACTGGAGGGCGATTAAATAAATGGATTCAACCTAAATAGGGGTGTAGTTAGGAAGTTTCCAGAGATACTTAATGGAGTATGGATGCAGTCCCTGGTCTGAATTTCAAAAGAAGTAGTTTTGCCTATTGAAGATGCAGGAGGCCATGTTGCTGCTGATATTTTACTATTGTATTAATTGTTACTTCCCTCATCACTGTCACAGTTTCAACCCATCTTTGGTTAACGGCTGGCTCGTGCCAGGCCTTTATTGACAGCCCTGGACAAACACTAGCTGCCAATCTGAAGACTGCAGTAACCCACAACCTTAAAGGTCAAATGAACCAAAAAATTGACATATTTTCTTTTGTCACTTTTCCTTCACCAAACACTAAAAAGAACCATCCTAAGTGAGATTTGGGTAAAGATTTTTCTTCCCAAGCCTTTATAGAAAGATAAAATATCAAAATCCGAGCATTTCTGAAAACCTCACGAAAACCTTTCTGAAATGGCCGCGCGATAGACTGGAGACTATGTGACGTCAATGTTGGTCTTTCAGGGCGGAAAAATGTTCTGCGCAAGCTTCTGCACATCCCTTATCGCCTGCGTTTGTTTGTCTCGTTCTGTAAGAGTTCTGA